TTAGCGGCTTAAGGGAATAATTGGTATATCTATATAGTGTATATGTGTATAAGACTGTTTTGGTACGCAAAATTACCAAGATTATTGTTGTAATAAAAATGGCATACCTATACGTTTTAAGTACTTGTAGTATAATTAAAAAACAATAGGAAAGGAAGACTTGAACATTGTAGAGGCAATATACATTATTAATGGAATCGGAATTCTTCATTTAGTATCACCGATCAGACATAAATGAAAGTTGCTCACATTAGTCATTGATGGTAGGTATTAGAAACTTAAAAAGGAGACAAATAGACATTCCATGAATGCCTTCTAATTCTTTAACTGAAAGAGCCCAAACAATTCTAAACTCCTTGGAAATGGACAATCTAAAATATTGAATCGATAATCTTTTCCGGATTGATTGTTATGATCCACAGAATTTTGAAGTTCCAAATTGATATCACCACCTGCCAAATCACCATTTATCGTACCTTTAGCAAGGAACTATGAATTTCTATGAATTACGACAAAACAATATGGATTTACGCCAGCTGTGTAAAACTGCAAATTACAAGATATTCTGGTATGCTAATAATTGCCTATAATCCAAAATTCTTAGAAAAGGATTCGAAAAACTTTACTTATTAGATGAACCCATAGCTAAAGAAACTACGGATTCCATTTCTTCCACTTTTTTTCTTACTTTTATGATAAAAGTTTGTAGTTATATTGTGTATACTGTGTAATTACTTATTAAAAAAAACTCGCGATTTGCAGCTTCATTTTACCAAAAATTTTTATTTATTATCTGAATAAGAATACTTAAATTTAACTTGAAAAAGAGAAAATAAGAATTGAACAATTGAGTTAAATAAAACATTTTTGCTATAAAAATTCATCTTCAACGTGAAGCGTTCCTCAGCAGTTACACACAAGTAACAGTCATTGCAGATATCTGCTGATATTCATGCATATATATAGTCCGCATACGCTTATAAAAGCGCAATTTGTATGCAGCCATAGGCGAGATATGCGCCATGGGAAAAGTTAACTCATTTCAATTGCAAGCTTCACGTTAAACAAATGCTCGGGCCGTAACGTAGACGACGTGATGCTACGCCATCTACCGAAGGACGAACGGTGGACGCGGCCGTTGGACACGCCGCGAAATTATACAACAGCGCGTCGTGTTGCACGTATAGTAACAACTACGAAAGGACCGGCAACAAACGTGATCCTGAATATTTACGTGATCATCCTTCCATATCTTCCGACTGACCTGAACTCATAAACAGCACATCGGGATTTAAACGAACATTACAATAAATTACATTTATTTAGATTTTTTGAAGTGAAACTTCTATAAAGACGGAGTATTACGATTTTCTTCTGTCACGAAAAAGCGTTACGGCCGCGTGGAAGAGGTAGACGTTATATCGCGTGGTGAGAGGCGGCAAAAGGTTTTTGTGTTCATCAATTTTTATTTTAAAATTCGACGTGTTTCGGAATTTTTCCCATTTTTAAGAAATTGTTACTCTTGTTAATGCGATTATAAAAATAACAAAAAACATTTAAAATTACCAATTATTTATTTCTACTGTTACTCCTAATAAATTCGGAAAAATATGGCGACTTTTAAATAAATAACTGGTGAAAATAAAGATATATTCAATTAAATTGAGACATTGGCTTTTTTCTTTTTTTGAAGTGAAACTTTAATATAGACGGGGTATTACGATTTCTTCTGTCACGGAAAAGGGGATACGGCCACGCGGAGGGGATAGACGGTATATAGCGTGGTAAGAGGCGGCAGCCGCGAAGGAAGAAAAAGGCTGGCGACGCGGCGGCGGAGAGAGGGCAACGGCTGTATTAGATGGATATAATGCGCAGCCGCGCAGAGAGCAGAGAGTCCGCTAGAGTCCCGCCGGCGTGTGCTGTGCTCAGCTGTTGTTTTCTTACCTCTGCTCTCCACGTGGCTGGGCATCATTGCCTCTATTTGTGGTCTGTGAAAAACCATATTATAATTTGCAGTAAACCTGTGAAAATGAAATGTGTGCTGGGACACATAGTAGAAGTAAAACTTCAACGGACAAGTGGAAAAACGTATCGCAAAAAGATTTTTACTTGAAGTTTTACGGGAAGGTTTCAAATTGGACAAGTACATTAACAATCTGCCCGTAAAACTTGAAGTAAAAATTTTGTTTCGATTCGTTTTTCCACTTGTCCGTTAAAGTTTCACTTCTACTATGTGTCCCAACACACATTTCGTTTTATTTTTTTAGTCTTGGGTTTACATCCCAGATAGGGAATATGAAACTAATCAAATAAATAAAAAAAGGCCTGTTCATATGTACTCATGTACACGCGGTAGAAGTTATACTTCTATTTGTATATTTTTTTAACCAGCACATAAATAATAATAAATTTGTTTTTACTAAAGCGCCCGACGACCTTTTCTTTTGGTATTGGGATAACACACCATCAAATCCCACATTAATAGCATCAGTATCGACGGTGAAGAATTCGCTGAACTGTGGGTATGTTAAGATTGGGGCTCCAGAAAGTATATCCTTTAAGCTTTCTAATGCTTTTCGGCATTCAGGTGTTCATTGGAAGGAAACTCCTTCTGTGAGTCCATGTAGTGGTCGGTCGGGCTATAATGGTAAATCCTCGGTGAGTTTTTGATAGTAGGAGTGTGAAATCTCAGAAGGCTTCTAAGTTTATGTAGATCTTTTAGTATGGGTCAACTTCGTACGGAAATTGTTTTGTCTGAGACAGTCCTAATTCCATCCGGTGTTATAACTTCACTTCTGTCTAAGCAGGACATACTTTTTATTACTTAGTTTCAAATTTGTAGCTGTATATTTTATTAAAATGTCGTTCGTCGAATATATAGGTTGTAGGTGATTTACGATTACAATCAGCTAACAAAAATGGTTCATGTGAGCATACCACTACGATTACCGTAGATTACAGATGCCTGATGATCGACCGAATCGGTTACGTAATCAGCATAAATATTCACTTCAAACTAAATATTCAATCAACAACATGACGTAGTTTTATGTGGCAGAACAGCGTTGTTGACTTGACTGTTTATCGAAAACGAAATAAAAAAACAAAAAATTATTGGATATAAGGGCAATTTCCGTCGATGCGATTGCGATGCAATTTTCAGTTTTCAATTCGTTACAACGTTAACGTGAACAGCCAAAAAATATGAAATTTAATAAGTAATTTTCACAGCTATAGGGTCAATTAAAAAGTCCCCGGCCTGACACATAGATGGCCGTACCAGAACTAAATCCATATGATTTTCAGTTAGTCCTAACCTTCAAAAGACGCGTCTATAAATTTGACGGCTGTCGGATGATTAGTTTGTGAATTATAGCATTTTTAGTGAAGCAACTTTTGTTATTGTGAAAAAAATAGATAAAAAGGAATTTCGCGTGTTGATAAAATATTGCTTTTTGAAGGGAAAAAATACAGTTGAAGCAAAAACTTGGCTTGATAACGAATTTCCGGACACTGCCCCAGGAAAATCAACCATCAAGGATTGGTATGCTAAGTTTAGACGTGGTGAAATGAGCACCGAAGACGGTGAACGCAGTGGACGCCCAAAAGAGGCTGTTACGGACGAAAACATTAAAAAAATCCACAAAATGATTTTGAATGACCGTAAATTGAAATTGAATGAAATAGCAGACACTCTACAGATATCAACGGAACGTATACATCACATCATTCACGAATATTTGGGTATGAGAAAGCTCTGTGCAAAGTGGGTGCCGCGCGAGCTCACTTTTGACCAAAAACAACGACGAGTTGATGATTCAGAGCAGTGTTTGAAGATGATCACGCGTAATAAACCCGAGTTTTTGCGTCGATATGTGACAATGGATGAAACATGGCTCCATCATTTCACTCCGAAGTCCAATCGACAGTCATCGGAGTGGACTGCACACGATGAACCCGCTCCAAAGCGTGCAAAAACGCAACAGTCGGCTGGCAAGGTTATGGCGTCTGTATTTTGGGATGCGCGTGGAATAATTTTCATTGACTACCTTGAAAAAGGAAGGACCATCAACAGCGACTATTACATAGCGTTATTGGACCGTTTGAAGGACGAAATCGCCGAGAAACGACCGCATTTGCAGAAAAAGAAAGTCCTGCTTCACCAAGACAATGCACCGTCTCACAAGTCAGTGAAAACGATGGCAAAAATTCATGAATTGGGCTTCGAATTGCTTCCGCATCCACCGTATTCTCCAGATCTGGCCCCCAGCGACTACTTCCTGTTCTCAGATCTCAAAAGAATGCTCGTTGGGAAAAAATTTTCGTCGAATGAAGAGGTGATCGCCGAAACTGAGGCCTATTTTGAAGCAAAGGACAAATCGTACTACAAAAATGGTATCGAAAAGTTGGAGGATCGCTATAATCAGTGTATCACCCTTGAAGGGAATTATGTTGAATAAAAAAAACGAATTTTGCAAAAAAAATGTGTTTTACTATTTTAGGCCGGGGACTTTTCAATTGACCTGTTATTTTATCGAATATTTAGGTAGTACATATTTAGAATCGGAAGTGTCATAAACTGCAACCCTTCATCCGTCTTCTTCCAGGCAAGTTATTGGAGAGATACTGGATTCATGAATTTTTCTATTGATGGTTCAAATACGCCCTTGAAAATAGACTTTCAACATTAAAATGGCAATCACATAATATTACACTACTTAGCTTTGTACAAACAGGTTACGAGCAATTGAGTGCCTAAATCAGGTATTGCCAATATATATATACTACTACTACTACTATTAAACTGATGCCTAAATATTTTTATACACTTATAATTCTAAATTATTGTACTTATTACCTATTAGACACCACTTTTTCAGGAAAAGGAATCTAAATGTGGAGCTATCTAAAAATATTGTAAACAAAGGAATATGCTAAAAGTAGAAGACGTAAGACCGTTTTAGTTTCAAATTTTTGACAGGTAGTTTTTTCTTTTGCAGTTTCCACAACAACTGATGACAAAAAAGCATCTGGGGGAACGGGAACAGATTCTGTGAAGCTAGCTGTAGTGAAAAGATCCAGGCCAAAAGCAGCCTCGCCAAACCGTCAAGGGCCTCAACAATGCCAGGTATAAAAACGTGAAATAAGAGAAAAAGAACAGTAGTTTTATTTGCAGTTTTGCAATTCGTTAAGATGGATTATATCTCAGAATAAGGCAAGCTGTATAGCTATAAAGACATATCGTGTGCTTACTGCTGCAGATTCGATACTACATGGTACAACACGATTTTTTCGAAATTATAATAACTTACATATCTTTTTTCGTGAGTGTAATTTACATCTTTCCTTTTGAAACTTCGGGAAATGAGCCGTTTTTAATCTCGAAACCGTCACGTTAATGATGTATTAAAAAGTATAATTAACCATTTATTTTTTAATAAAATAATTCGAAGTGGTCTGTATTCTGTCGGAACTGCCAGACGCGGATCGCGATTTTACACGCGGTAGAAGTTAT